CCCCAAAACCCCAAAACCCCAAAACCCCTATGTACAAATAATCAATGAGTCGAAAGTAAATTAAGGATATATTAGTACTAGATATAATAATAAATACTATAAAGAGAAGATTGCTAAAATGAGTCTATTTGTGGGAAATATTTCAAGAAACGTGAGACAAGAGGATTTGCTAGAGGAGTTTGATAAGATCGGTCCCTGTACCATCAACTTCAAGGTACTAACCACTACACTAATTTTACACTAAAAACAACTTTATACTACCAATCAAACATTTTGTCATTCTTCTACTCAAACTCGGAGAGAATGTACATTTCGCCTAACCAAGATATTTATAGGGCTCTTTTGCTTTTATTGAGTACAAAGAAGAGAGAGACGGAGAAGATGCTATCAATGATTTGAATGGAAAGGACTTCGGTGGCCAGAAAATTGCTATTGAATGGAGCAAGAGAAGTGGCAGGTATGATTCGATCCTTATCTTCGTCTTTGTTCCGAAGGAGCTGTCATAGGCAGTACTCAAGCTGTCCATCTTGAATAAAATTTCAAATTTCTCAATTAATAACTCGCTAACCTCGATGCCTTTATTACATATTGGTGTGCGACTTATAAGCTGAGCTGAGGAACTGCATGGACCTTGAAAATTTCTTTTGAATTTGTCAGATTTTAACATGATAACTATAGAAAGAGAGAAGACAGCAGAGGTCGTGAGAGAACTGAAAGAGGTGGCGGCGACAGAAGAGGCAACAGAGATTGCTACAACTGTGGCAAGCCAGGTCACTTCGCTCGTGACTGCAGAGCTAGAAGAAGAACAAGAAGCAGATCAGGAGAGTAAGATTTTATTTGCTTAAATCTGATCTATAGTAGAAGAAGAGGTGGCTTCAGAGGAGGTAGAAATGACTACAGAAGAAGAGATGATAGCAGAGATAGAAGAAGAGATGATAGCAGAAGAAGAGACGACTCTAGAGAAAATACCAGAAGAAGAGATGACTCTAGAGACAAGAGAAGAAGAAGAAGCTCATCATACAAGAAGGTAAATATACTTTTTCTTTGATTGCATTTGTTCTTATACCATTAAATAGAGATCTACCGATAGAAATGAAAGAAAGAGTGTATCACCAAGAAGTTCTCCAGTTGGTAAGTATCTAATAATCGATCGCGACGAATTTTTATATTCAAATTGCTTAAATAATTTGCGGAACTGTTATTAATGAGTTATTATTATTAGTCAGAAGAACATCAGCTGACAGAAATGGAAAGGACGCCGGTGATTACAAGAGAAACGAGTCCCCAGAGAGAGATTGATCATTTCCTAACTATATTCCTAATTAAGTGTAATGAAACGGAATACTTAAAATTAATTACTTAAACTTCCTTAACCTAAATACCTCTTAAAATATTCTTAAAGTATTTCCCTCCCTAATCATCATAGACTACTAATTCAAAATAAATGTTCTTATTTATCTAAATCATTATTTATTATCAATCATCTAAATTCTAGTTAAATATTAATAGAGGGGTTTTGGGGTTTTGGGG